AGAGGAGACAACGAAAACCGTAGACTGCCTTAAATAGACACAGAATTATGGTAGGTGTGTAGCTAGGTGTCTAGTTTATATGCACTTCATCAAATGTCGGAACTTGCGTACTGTTTCCTTTGAGCTTGGAATTTAAACAAAACTCTGCGTGCTCTTTCTGACTATATTCAGCTGTTTTTACATTGAGTGGATATCTACCTTTGAGATGTAAAAAATAATGTGGGTAAAGATTGCTCAATAAGATGTTTAGGCTTTTTTCCAAGAATAACCTGACCGTGTTCTCTTGTTATTAGAATCGCTCAGGACATTTTCTGGCGTCTTCACAAGCGAGATCATTTGGTGGAGGATACTCTAGAGCAACTTCAATGCGTGGACTGTAAAAGGTACATTCAGTTCTCACTGTCTCAATACCGTAAAACTACAATAATAATACCTAATACATTAGATAGAAACGTATAGTTTGCAAGTATCAGCAGAGAGGCATGATGACGTTCTGACTCAAAGAATGTGGAATTTAAGAATCTAGAATAACTGAATGATTAGGGAATGACGGTATATTGTGCAAGTCGATAGTTAAAAAAATGGTAAGACGATGGAGCTGTATTATTCATCATAGTTATTTGTTCGATAAACTGTAACGCGATCATAAACGTTTGTGAGAGTCTTATTAAGGTGGCTCAAAACAGAAATATTTCCGTGAGTAGCCTGGGCTCTAGCGCGCACTTCAGCGCGTGGCGAGGGGTCGCGAGATAGTGCGCGAGATTTAAAGTTTGCAAAACTAACAACAAACATGGCGGCACGAGGCCTACTTCGTAAAATTTGTTTCCGCATAGTTTAGTGAGCTGTTTTGATATCGCTAATTTTCACCTTCGAAAACATCCATCCTTCAGGCAATTTCAAATGAAAAACATTCTTTTAAATCGCGGTGCTTGAACGTAAACGAAAATTGTGATGTTGATGTTGCGATCGATCGCGGAGGCTATCAGTCTAAAAAAAAGCAGGAAAAACTACTCTTCAAGTTTTCTTCATTCTTTTTACTAGGCCAGTCTCACTTTCGGGTATTTATGGTACTCTTCTTCTACCGCTTATGCTGCTAACGACAACAGAAAAAAAAAAACACTATTCGCGGGTATTCACGTTTAGTCGCGTGGAATTGCGCACTCTACTGGGTAGCGGACCGCCTTCGCGCTTACGCAAAGTGCGATCTTACAAAGTCGAGATTTTAATTTCCTTATTCACGAAGCTAATGTCTCAAAAAATGATCCGGTGACCATACTTTTTTAATGCAAAAAATTATTCAACAGCAAAAGCGGAATACATGTGCGAAATTGTAAAAAAAAAAACTGTGGGGTGGAATTTTTTCAATCCTGAAATTTCCATTTTGCTTTTTTAATCTAAGCAAAATCCACTCCACAGAATTTTTTCTAATTTTGCAAGTTTCTTCTGTGAGTAATAGAAAGATTTTTATAAAAAAAGATATGAGGTCACCGACTTAGTTTTTAAGATAGATGCAATTGATGGTAAAAAGTGGATCAAGTTTGTTGCTATGCAATGGAACAGAGTAACCTCAATTTATGACTGAAACACAATGAATGGTACAGTGGAGAGTTACCTCAAAAAAATAGCACAGCCATTAAAAACAGTACAGTTCCAAGCCTGAAAAATCACACCTAGTTCTAAAAGTCTAAAAAAAAAAGAAAACTGTTTTGAACCACTTTAAGATTCAATACAGACCCCTGGCAGACCCGTCCTCTTCATTTGTGACGTAGTTTTCGTGTTGACGTGTTGAACGTTCAAGAAGACTATTATAGACAGGTTTGATACTATGAACACCTTCTTACGAGTTACACAAACAGGTCTTGCCAGTAGTGAGTTAACAGAGTAGCTTGTTAGTTATTTGCTATCATAAACTATTGTACTAACATCTCAAAGAGTGAAACGTTGCCAGACTATAGCCTATGAAAACCCGTTCAAGGGTCAATGTAAAGATTTTCGGAAAGTGGTTGTTTAGAAATGTTTTAATGTGTTTTTCTGTTTAGCAATATTATCTTGCATTTCACGTCTCGTATTTCAGTTGATGTTTTTAATCCTTGACCATTTTTTTTTCTTTTTTTATGTTGTTGCAGATTTCTCGCTGACCGTTTTGTGGAAGGCACTTGTCCTTTCTGCAACTTTGAGGTAAGATGTAACAGATTTTACTGAGAATCTCACTTAATGTTAGCTACGAAGACCACCTGACGGTTACTTTAGCACCAAGGTTTTGATAGCGTGCATTTTGTTGTTATCGCTTGATCTTCAAAACCATTTTGATGTAGTAAGTTAAGAAAATTGTACTTATTTCTTGCAGGATGCCAGAGGAGATCAGTGCGATGCGTGTGGAAAGCTTATAAACGCCATTGAACTGAAGGTAACGAGAACGTACTATCTTTGATGTGTTTGCTTCAGGGAGATGGCGGTAAAAAAAGGCAGTATATACAGGGAGTGGTTCCTCAAGAAGATTGCTAACAGCAAATTGATTATTTTGTATTACAGAAGCCAAGATGTAAAGTTTGCGGAGGAACACCAAAAGTTAGAAGTAGCAAGCACTTATTCTTGAATTTGACCAAGGTAGCCTTTTAATTTCGTAGTTTTAAAATCGTACACAAAAAACTTCCCAGTTTGTCATAATCAGAGGTTTCTAAGGTGGCCATATTACTATACCCCA